GAAGCCGTGTTGTTGCTGAAGCCGGATGAGAATGCCACTTCCAGATTGGGAACGGGGGGATTTCTATTGCTGCCTGACAGACCGCCTGAGGCTGAGGGCTTTACATTGCTGTCCAGTCTCCGTGGGGCAGGCACCCTAGCAGCTCGGCTGGGTGGTCCTAGCTTAGCTCTCGAGACACTGGCCGGCCCAGGCTGAGTACCTGGAGGCTCGACAGAGGTGGGCAGCCCGCCCCCAGGGTGGCACGCTGGTGGTTGTTGGCAGAAGGCCTGGGTGCTTGCCGCCGGGCCTCTCCATAGGAGCCCTGAGGGTCCCCACAGCATGGCAGCCGCCGCCCCCAGAGTGGGTGACCCAGGAGCGGGCAAGGCAGGCGCACAGTGTCCTTTATCACCTCGCCTGCTATCACCGCCGTATTCTGCCAACTGCCTAGGTCAGCCCTGAGACGGTGAGAACGGAGACTGGGCGAGGGCACAGAGCCAGAACCGCAAGGGCTGTCCGGGAGGCTGGCTGCTGCAGGCTGACGCAGGGAGGGAATGAAAGAAACGCTGACCTTTCCTCCTGCCCTCGGACCTCCCTCACACAGGCTCCGTTATTAGCTGAATGCCGCTGGGAGCCCTGGCCAGGGGCTGGGTGATGCCCGGCCTTCAGAGCGCGCAGGACAGAGAATGGCCTGGGGAGAGGGGGCAAACAGGAACCCAGCACAGTCTCCAGCTGGATCGTTGAATGAGTGAGTTTAGGAATGGGTGATGGACGCCTTGGGCACCACACCGCGGAGAGCTCTGCGTGTGTGCCTGGGGCAGCGTGTAAGGTGGGTGTTGCTGTCTGACAGGAGATACGGGGCCTGTCCGAGCACTGGGGCCCGGGGGGGGGGGGGCAGGAACACCTCAAAGAGCATTTCTGAGAGTCAGTCCCTCGGCACCTTCTCCGGGGCCTCCAGCGGTGCCCACTCTCACTTGCCCCGAACCCTCTCCTGCCATCTCCTTCCTTGGAGCTTCCAGTGTGGCTAGGACTCGGCTGCTCAGGCCAGGGACAGAATTTGCCCTGACACTGAGGGGCCTTGTGGGGGCTCAAGGCAGCCAAGCTCGAAAGAGGGACTAAACCTGCAAACAGTGCAGACTTCTCCCCTCTGCTACCGCCCCCAGACCCACCCCCTCTTCCCTGCTTTTCCGGACATGGGACCAAGCCCATGGCTTCTGATTCACACCTCTGTCCAGGCCTGAGGACGAGTCAGGATGCAGGGGAAGGGCTGATTGGCTGGGCTCTGCCAGTGCCCGCTTCTGGGCCAATCAGCTGTCGCTCGGGAGTGGCATGTGGTTGCAGGAAGGGCTGCAGCACTGTGAAAAGGGAGTGTTCAGCAGGGATCTCTGATGTGCATAACGTGCTGCTCATTGTCAGAGCCCCCAAGGTTACGGGGGGTGTGAGCTGCTCTGTACCTGAGAGGCACTTTCTCCTTCTTTCCCTCCTCCCTTCCCTTCCTTCCCTCATTCCCCACCTCAAGCTCTGGCTCCACTCTGGGCCAGTCCTGCTTTGTCCTGTCCTCCGCAGGAGGGAGGCCTGGAGGGGGGCTGTCGGAAACCAATGGGGTGAAGGAAGATTCGAGGGGGCTGCTTAAGTCTTTTCTGGGTGCAAGAATAGAAACGCCCCCCTCCCCCGGGGGGGGGGCATTGCAAAGCTCAGGGCCTGCTGGCAGGTTGGGAGCCCAGCGTCCTGCGAGGCCTGGAGCTTTGGATCCTGATTCCATCTTTCAGTTGTGTGGCTTGCCAGTCTATTCAGCTTCTTGATGCCCCTTGAGTTCTTCCTGGGACTGTTGTGTGTTGCGGCGCTGTGAGGAGCTCACGCAGGCAGTGCAGAGGCTGTGCCTGGCAGACACCGTTAGGCGCTGGAGCAATGCTGGCGGTTGTGCCTTTAGTCCAGACACGTTTGTTTAGTCAGGACTTGCGTGAGGACATGGCTTACATTTGCCTCTAGTGGCTTAGTTAGGAGAGCCATCTGCTGCTCCAGTCTCCAGGCCAGCAGCCGGAGCCTCACCCTGCGCACAGCTGCCCCCTTGTGGCAGTGCCGCGCACTGGCGTTGCTTTGTCGTCTCTTTTCCTCCTATCAGGGCCCAGTTGCTCAGATTTTGGAAACCTTGGGAAGTGGTTGGAGGAGGAGCTGAAGCAGAGGGGCACGGTTCTCAGCATTGATTTTACAGAGAAAAGGAGCGAAATATCGATTCGTTGGTCCACTTATTTATTCCTTCACTGGTTGATTTTCATATGTGCCCTGACGGGATTAAACCCGCAACCTTGTTGTATCTGGATGATGCTCTCACCAATTCAACTGCCCAACCAGGGCCCATTCTCAGCTTTGGAGCAGGCATTGGGGACACTGGCAACACTCTGTCCCAGGGTCCAGGAGAGATGCCAGACAGACCACCAGCTCTCACTCACTGGTCCTTCTGGCCTGAAACGGCGATCTTCACCTCAGCAGCACATGGGAATCACCTGGGGAGCTTTTAAAACCCGTGTGCTGGGGCTGCCCTGGTGACCCAAGGGTACGAGAGTCCTCGGTAAAGAACTGCAGCTCTAGAGCACCGTATCCATTGTCACCTCCCTTCTCCCTTTGGCCTCCAACTTGGCCTTCACCATGCCAGCCCCTCCTGGAGCCTTCGCTGGCCAAGGCCTCGCCGACCTTCTCCTCGGTGCCCATGGCTGCCCTCTTGCTTCTCTGACTGGCCTCCACTCCTCCGTGTCCGTATGTCTCTGCCCTTCGATGCTGTAGCTGTTTCCCCACCTTCCCCGCGGCTCACTTCCGGGCCGGGCTTCCATCACATCCGACGGGCCCTGCCTTGAGCCCAGCCCCTAAGTTCATCACGTCTCCCAGCTGGAGATGGGCCGGGCATTCCTCCTGGTTCTTATCCAGAGCCTCTTGCCAAAGCCAAGACCCCCCCCCCTCACCCCCCTGCCCCTCCCCTCCGTCCTGTGCGTGGTCAGTCGCGTGTGGTGGCCTCCGTCACTTCAGCCATTGCCATGGGCCCAGCAGGGGTCCCCAAACCACATAAGCAGATGAGCCTGGCCCTGAGTCACCCTGTCTGCCTCCAGTCCACCCCTTTCTCCGTCTCCCCGGCAGAGGGACGGAGGATGCAGAAGTGGTCACTGTCTGCCCTGCAGGAATCCCTCTGGCCCCATGGTGGAGCCCTGCCGCTTCAGCACCATTTTTCCCAACACACACCCTATGTCCAGACTCAGCCAGAAACGGAGTCTGGGAACCTACAGGTTGTAAATGCATCTGCCCGGAGTGACAGGCGACATGTTTCTCTCACAGGCAGCCTCAGGCACGCGGAAGAGGTGAGGTTTGTGGAGAACCAGACCAGAGGTTTCCTTTAAACCAGATTCATTCTGTCTCGGGCCTGCCTCTGTCTGCTGATTCTTGTACATACGTTCACTGCTTCAGACACTCAGCTCCCCTCTTCCAACTCCTCTGTCTCTGGTCTCCCTCCCTCAGAGTCTTCTCTTACCTTTTCATCAGCCTTGGCCTGTTTCCTCTTCTGTGAAATGGGGATAATGAAAGCATGTGCTACACCAGGTGTTGTGTCTGTGCACTAATTCAGGTTGCAGACAACAGCAGTGTAGGCCAAGGTGGTAGCCGTGGAAGTGGCGAGAAATCAGACTCCAGATTGTCACCTGTCCCACACCTACAACACCCTCCACACCCCCATGCCCCGGACAAGTGTTGTCACTAATCCATCTACTCTTAAAGCCGGCTCAAACCTGAGCCTGGGCGAAGTACGCTTCCTCCTTCACCCTGCCGAAGTTCTGTGTGCTATGTTTGCAATTAATTTTTTGTTAATCCTCACCTGAGGATATTTTTCCCACTGATTTTTAGGGAGTAGAAGGGAGGGAGGGGAAGAGGGAGAGAAACATCCATGTAAGAGACAGACACTTCGATTAGTTGCCTCCTGCACGCGTCCCAACCGGAGCTGGGATCAAAACTACACCCATGTCTGTGCTTTTGACAGGGAATCAAACCTGTGACCCTTCAGTCTGAGTTGACACTAACTACTGAGCAACCAGCCAGGGTTACAGCCCAGTATTGATTCAGCGAGCATTCCTGGGGAGCATACTATGTGCCCAGCTATACTCAGAGCACTTCACAAGTAGTAATTCATTCCATCCCCTGTGAAGTTGGTACTGTTATCCCTTTACAAGTGAGGATCAGAGGCATAAAGGTCAAGGTATTTTCCCAAGGTCACATAGGAGATGACAAAGGATTTGAATCCACAGTTTGGTGCCATGTTCATCCTCTCAATGACTCAATGTGCTGCTCCTCTGTTAGCAGTGAGGATGACTTATACTAATAATCTATACTAATAAATGAGTAATATGCCAATTAGGGTGGGCATCTTCCAGACTTCCATCTGCACAAAGCCACAGTGGCTGTGAAGCCGGGGCTCAGGCAGCCATGAGTCCTGATGGCTTCGAGGCCCAGGGCTCAGGCCTAGCAGTCGCCGCAGCCGGCAGTGGCAGCAGCAGCGGGGTGATGGGAGTGATGCCTTCTGATCAGCCTAGTCGCCTCCTGCAGAGGGGCCTGAGGGAAGCGGGCCTACGCCATCTGTAGGATATCCCCTGACTGTGAGAGGGGGCAGGTCTGGCTGAGAGGACCCCCCCCCCACCCCCCAGCCCAGTGCACAAATTTTCATGCACCAGGCCCGTAGTAATGATAATAAAAGCCAAGCTGGCTTTTACCAAGGGCTCACTCTGCCGGGTGCAATGCTGAGCCCTGGGCCTGGGTTACCAGCTACCCCTCCCCACACCCACATTGCTGTCACAGGTGGGTCTCATCCCAGCCCTGGCACGCTGGCCCCAGCCTGTCTGGTGGGAGCACACACTCAGTCACTCTCCCAGGGCTCTGGCTGTTAGTTGATTTGACTTCCCTTGGGATGGAGTTGGAGTCGCTCTCGAATCTCTCCGCTGCCTTCTTTCATCCAGTGCGTTCGTGTGCTAGGGCTGCCGTGAAAAAAATACCACTTACACAACAGGAACTTATTTCTCCCAGTTCTGGAGACCAGAAGTCCAAGTTCAAGGTATCTTCAGATTCCTTTCCTCTGAGGTCTCTCTCCTTGGCTTGTAGATGGCCATCTTCACAAGGTCTTCCCTCAGTTCAAGTCTGCGTCCTAATCTCTTATGAGGACACCAGCCACTGGGTCAGGGCCCACCCACAAGACCTCATTTTACCTTAATTCCTCTTTAAAGGAGTCACATTCTGAGGTATTAAAGATTGGGGGGCGGGGGAGGCCCAACCAGTGTGGCTCAGTTGGCTGAGCATCATCCTCTGCACCAGGAGGTTGACGGTTTGATTCTCAGTCAGAGCACATACCTGAGTTGTAGGCTGATCCCCAGGTGGAGGCGTGTAGGAGGCAGCCGATCAGTGATTCTCTCTCATCAATGTTTCTATCGCTCTCTCCCTCTCCTTTCCTCTCTGAAATGAATAAAAACATTTTTTTAAAGAGTTTTAGAAGGACACAATTTAGATCATAACCTCAGGGTCTCAAACTCAAACACTGATGAGCCAAACAAAGAACAGATGAGTGAACTGGGCTGGGGAAGACATGCTCCTTTTATTTTCCCACTTTCATCCTGGGTAAGGGACATGGTGACAGTGTCTCACTCTCCTCTGTCCGGTGCAAAATACAGAGCAAGGACGTTAGCTCTTTGCTGCGACCTCAGCTCCCAGGACAAGTGTCTGGCACCAGGTGCTTGGTAAGTATTTGTTGAGCAAGTGAAGGAGCAGAGTGGCCCTGAGTGCAGGGGAGTGGCCGGGACCAGAGTCCTGCTAAGTGATCAGCTGGCAACTCGGCCCCAGTGAGTTGTCGGATCACCTGGCATCCTGTCTTTTCTATAAAGCTCCAGTTTTCAATCACAGCAACTAATTCGCAAAAACTGAAACCATCATGCAGGTCGTTTTAGCCACTGCCCTCTGTGAAGGGCACCCACCTCGAGCCAGAGGATCAGCGCCCCCGCTCAGCCTGCAGGCCAGGAAGCTGGAGGTGGGGGCTGGGCTTTCACACACACCCTGTGGTTGCTCTGCAGGAAGGCGATGCCCTGGGCGCCATGGAGAAGCTGTGCCGGCAGCTGGCATACCACCTCAGCCCCCACTCCCAGTGGAGGCGGCACCGGGGGCTGGTGAAGAGGAAGCCACAGGCCTGGTGAGTCACCATCTGCCCGCCCCACTGCCCAGGCTCCTTCTCCAAGGGCAGCGCAAGGACAGCCTGGGTCAGGCTGGGTGTGTGGCACAGCACCCTCCCAGGGTGTGGGTGAAGAGAGGAGGGGAAAGGCTGCCTCGAGCGGCAAGCAGGGGAGAGTGGTGGCCTTCCAGGGGGCAGGAGCCGGGAAGGGCCTGGAGGCAGGGCCCTCTGTGGGGTAGGAGCTGGGGTGTGGCTCATTCTAATGGATGGGTGGGAGGGGGGCATGAGTTTCTAATTCCCGGCTCAGTGAACGTGGGCACACTCACTCTCTGAACCCCCAGTGCCTCCTGGTTATCCCCCTCGGGAGACCCAAACCCCAAGCACATCCCTGGCTCATGCAGAGCGAGAACCCTCAGGGGGTGTGGCCCCTGCAGACTGGGGAGAGGAGGGCACAGGGACACAGAACCTATGGCCATGGCAGGAAGTGGATGCAAGGGGCCCAGAAGGAAGACTTCCTGGGGGAGGACGTGGCCGTGGGCGCAGAGCCCCCTGCGTTCCCAAGGCTGCTGTGGGCTCACCCTGCCAGGCCTGCAGCTGGGGAGGAAGGACTGCCCCTCCCTGAGAAAGGGGCTCCTTTCCCTTCCAGACACCCCCACCCCCAAGCTGGAGGGGTGGGGGGAACAGGTGGGTCCTGGGAGGCCTTCCCAAGTGGCGGCAGTGAGGCTCCCACTGGCTGGGGGCAGGGGCTGCGGTGGACCTGGAATGCCAGGACACTTGGTGAGCTAGCTGTTTAGGTCTGAGAAGCTGGAATGTGAACTCTGCCTGAGTCCAGGGGCCTCTTCTGGCTCCCCAACTCACACGCATGCTCAGTCCACTCTCATTCAGCTTTGCACCTCTAAGGCGCCTTCTGGTCACACTGCGTGAGATGCAAGCAGGGCCTTACGTGATGGGTCCCCAGCCCCGCATCCTCTCCCCTCCCACTCTCTGTGCCCCTGCCATGCTTTCCTTCTTGCCGGTTCAGACACACCAAGCTCTCTCCAACCTCAGGGCCTCCTCTGCTGGAACTCTTCCAAACCCTCCCGATGGCCTGCTTGTTCCTGCTCTCAGCTCAGAGGTTACCTCCACAGGTAGCCTCCCGAGTAGCCATGCCCCTCCTCCACCCCCAGCTCCTCTCTCACTTGTCTGCTGTCTTGTGGGAATCTCCCTAAGGATCGCCATCTGATGGGGAAGATGGCCTTAAAACAGGAGGTGTCAGAGATCAGCTCAGGTGATTAATATCAGCAGCAAATATATTTATTCATCACCCAAACAAGGCACTTTTTAAATGCTTTGCATTTATTATCTTCAGATAACAACCCTGTAGCACTCAACTAGCTCATTTTTTCCAGAAAATAACCGAAGAGCAGAAAGGTTAAGGACCTAATGTCAAGGTCACACTCAAACCCAGGCATGTGGCACCTTAGTCACTGCAGAAGCACTTGAGCTTTCCCTGTGGGCCCTCTGGCCAGCGGGCACTGCCAGGCCAGATGTGGGGTAGTGCCGGGAGGCGGGTCTGTTCCCTCCCGTTACCTAACCTGCTTGTCCCTCCTCCTCTTCAGCCTCAAGGCTGTCCTGGCTGGAAGCCCTCTGGACAACACGGTGGACCTGTCGGGCATCCCGCTGACCTCCCGCGACCTGGAGCGGGTGAGCAGCTACCTGCAGCGCTGTGGGGAGCAGGTGGACAGCGTGGAGCTGGGCTTCACGGGCCTCACCGATGACATGGTCCTCCAGCTGCTGCCGGCACTCAGCACGCTGCCCCGCCTCACCACGCTGGCCCTCAACGGCAACCGGCTGACCCGAGCGCTGCTGCGTGACCTCACCGACACCCTCAAGGACCCCAGCAAGTTCCCCAACGTCACGTGGATTGACCTGGGCAACAACGTGGACATCTTCTCCTTGCCCCAGCCCTTCCTGCTCAGCCTGCGCAAGCGCTCCCCGAAGCAGGGCCACCTCCCCACCATCTTGGAGCTGGGCGAGAGCCCCGGCTGTGTAGAGGAGGCTTGGGATGGAACAGTGGGCCAGGAGGACCCTGCAGGGGACCATGAGGCCCCCCATAAAGACCTTGAGGACAGGGAACCTGTAGGTCCAGCTCAGACGTGACATGGAAATGGGGCCTCACCAGGTAGTCCTTGTGGGGTGCGATGGCTGAGGCAGAGTAACGGCTACCGACAGCCCCGCCCGTGGAAGCCCCATCAGAGAATCCGGGGAAGGGTGTGCTCCTCACTGTCCACCATACCATCTCCGTTATCTTTGTTTGGCTCGGAGCAGTCATCCCTGGCTCAAGAGTCCAGCCCTAGGCCTCCCCACGTACAGGTTGGCATGCTGGAAGCTTGAGCTGTCAGCACATGTAGTTGGGGCCTACATCCAACCCAGGACTTGATTTTACTTTCGGAAAGTTGCCCAGGGCAGCAAACTCCAGCCAGATGCTGTGTGCTCAAGGCAGGTTGGCATCTTAGCACCCCATCTCCTGAGTGGCCCTTGGGGTAGGGAGACGGGGGCCCCCCTCGTGAACCCCTGGGCTCCTTGTAACTGACTTGTCTCAGCCCTTAACCCCATGATTCCAGAGTCAGCCACCAGCCTTCAATGTAGAACATCCTAAACCGTCTGGAGCAGATGGGAACGTCCCCTGTGGAACCCACCACCCTACCCCCAAGACTGTTTAAGACTTTTCCATGGGTTGTTCCAGTGTTGCTAGTCAGGGCCCATTTCCAGTACCAAGTCTCCCAAAAGCTGTCATGGAAGGTTCTTATCAAACACCCAGGACTGGAATGCAGATCCGGTCCCTCCAAAGACAGCCATAAGGGAAAGCAAGTTTCCATCCATCCTTAACCAAGCTTTTAAAAATCCTTTCTAAATAAAAACAGCAAATCCTAGGAACCAATCTTGAGCCAGAGAAAATCATGTCAGGTGCCTGATGTTACCTCCTCAGGCCAGAGGACTAGCTAGTGAAGCCCACAGGCCAGTAGGCAAAATGCCAACCCAGGCAGACAAGGTGGGGGCTAGGCACAGCACACTTTAGGGGTTAGTAGAGGGCCAGGACTCTGGATGCTTTGGTGCCCTAGGACTTATAGTCTAAGACAAGAACAGCTTAGACCATAGGGAAATTGACTAGTGCTGGACTAATATTTCCCAGCAGTGACCAAGTTTAGTTTTCTACAAATACACATCCTTGTCTATGGTAACTGCATAGATGCTAATTTCAGGAGGAAGCTGCAAACCCTTGCCGAATATAACAAATGAGGGACACAATGGTAATGACACAAAAGTGCTTGTCCTACTAATAGGTGGTCAAAGCCCATTTCTTGGCCCTCATTGGTAAGACTAGCCTGATAATCAGCACAAAGAAGACTTTTTTAAAAATATATATTTTTATTGATTTGAGAGGAAAGGAGGGAAACATTGATGAGAATCATTGGTTGGCTGCCTCCTGCACACACATCCCCAACTGGGTATCAAGCCTGCAACCTGGCCACATGCCCTTCAGTCTGCAGGCCGATGCTCTACCCACTGCATAAAACCAGCCGAGGCAGGTGAGCTTTCTGCACCAAATGTAGAAGCCTAGGTTTCCGTCTGGAGCCCAAATTGATGGGGACCGACTACTGGTCCTTGGAACTTCAAATTCTGCCTCTGCTGCAGCATGGCGGACCATCCTCTGGAAAAACAGCCTGCAAGGAGCTAGGTATCAGTCACATGTACAAAACAGCCTGCAAGTTACTAAGAATTAGTCACATGTACTACTCCAAACAACAGTCCCTCACAGAATAGGATATCTTCAGAAAACCGTCAGTTCACCACCACACAATCTGCCGGTAATTCCAGCTATTTTTGGTGGTTTCATCATTTGATATCCTTTTCTGCAAGTTAATATAAACAGAACTAGCCGCTCATTCATTGACCATGGGGCAATCACTGTCCAGATGGAATCTTACCTCCTCCAGGGTAAGCCGGGCTGCTGCCTCATCCCCAGCTTTGGCTGCCCAGGTCACATTCTTCAGCACGCAGCCTGGGGGAAGGAATACCAGTCAGCAGATGCAGTTCTAATCACAAGTCTCAACTACAAACTTAAGTCCAATAAGTCCTATTTGGCTTCTTAAACATTACAAACCTAAGGCTATCATTTTTTTAGAATGAAGAAAATCACGTTAGAGCAGAAAAGCAATTTTCTCAGTATTATACATCCATACAGTGAAAAAAAAAGAACTCCAGGGTATGCTCTGCCCTCTGCTCCACTGCCATCATCTCACCTAGTTTTATTTCACTGGACTCTAAGCATGGTCACCCACTCACCTCTCCAGACCAAAGCCAGTGCGACTCACTGCAGTCCTCAGCTCCTGCCAGTTCGTTCATTTGCAACCTGGGTGAATATAGAAAGCAAGGGTCAGTCCCGACCAACTACGCCTGGGCCAGCCACCTGAGCACGTGTTGACTGCAGTCAGCCCGGAATTATCGTCAGTTATCGCTTCTGACGGCACTTCCTATGGGTGATTTCATCAGAGCAGTCAAGCCCTCACCATCCCAGTACTGCTCCACGCTGACTGAGCCAGGAGACACTTTAATGGAGTCTATACGCACAGCTGCGATTTAAACGGTTCAGTTTAGGGGCAAGGATCTCCTAGCCACTGCAATTGTGCAATGAGGTGGTGCGTAATAAACTCGAAACAAGACACCCAAGTCCCATACCAAACCCGCCTAGGCCTCACCGCAGGGCGGCGCCGCTCCTCCTGGCCCTTCCTGGGTGTGCTGTGGGAACAGGAAGGGACACGCATTTAGGGCGGATTCTGCTCGTTACCACTAAACTATCGAGGCTCAGCGACTGCGGTCAGATAATGTAAAATCGTCAGTTATCGCCTCAGACGGCACTTCCTAATGTCAGTATCATCAGGGCAGTCGACCAGGTCTCGAGCCCATTAAACGCCTCCCACGTGCAGCCCCCTTGGGTGCAGGGCCCCGCTTACCGAGTCCTCGGGTTCGCTCACTCCCGACGACGAGCCACGGGCCCCGGCCTTCGGCGACCCCAGGCTCCGGGGCGGCGGGCCTGCGGGGCAAGCACGTGCCCGGCGCCGCGGCCCCGCGGCCTGCAGGCCCCGCACGGCGCCGCCCGCCGCCCTCCAGCCAGGCTCCCCGAAAACATCTCCCAGACTTGACAAAGGCACCAGCCCGCCTGCCCTCGCCCCCGGCTCCCGGCGCCGGGTTTGGGACAAGCCAACCCTCAGCGGCCGCGGAGAAAAGGAGGTTCCGGCCGCGGCCCGGACCCTTAAGGAGCTGGGACATTCCACTCCGCACAGAGCGGGGGGCACCGGCAACACTCAGGGCCTTTCCGCCTGTTCTTCAGCCGGCGCGGTCCCCCGAGCCGCCCCCGGAGCTGTGGTCCCCTCCGCGGCCTCCCCCGCCCGCCGAGCTGTGGTCCCTTCCGCGGCCTCCCCCGCCCGCGGAGCTGTGGTCCCTTCCGCGGCCTCCCCCGCCCGCGGAGCTGTGGTCCCTTCCGCGGCCTCCCCCGCCCGCGGAGCTGTGGTCCCTTCCGCGGCCTCCCCCGCCCGCGGAGCTGTGGTCCCTTCCGCGGCCTCCCCCGCCCGCGGAGCTGTGGTCCCTTCCGCGGCCGCGGAATTCTGGGTGTGAGGCGCGCGCGGCCGGGCCTGCGCGGGGGCGGGGAGGCGCGCCGCGGGCGGGCGCGCAGGGGTGGGGGAGGCGCGGGGCGCCGGGAGGCGCTGAGGGTTGGCGTGGGGGGGCGCCGGGGCCGCCTTGAGGTCCCGCCCGGCCCCGGCCCGCCGCGTGGCTCAGCGGAGTGCTCCTCTGGGAGGCTCGGCCCGCTGGTCAGGAAGCGGGAGAACCCGGGCCTCGCCGGGCTGTTCTGCCGGTCACGTGAGATGCCGCACCCGAACCGGCAGAGCCGTCACCGAAGTAGTGGGTCCTGATTCTGGGAGACGTGGCCAGGGGCGCCCTCCCGGCCGCCGGCCCAGCCGCCGCGCCGCGCTGTCAGCATGACCGCCGAGGGGCGCCTGCCCCTCCCCTCTGATCCGGCCGGGGGAACCTGCCGTCCGCAGTGGACACTCGGCTTCCTTCCACTTAAAAAATGTGCAGTCGTGCATACGCATTATATATAATAACACCCATTACCCCAAGGGAGAGCAATTCATTCCTTTTTACCTTTAAAAATCTATTTGGCTGGGTCGGGTGCGGCCAGGCCCGGAGCAGCGGCTGCCAGGCTGGGAGCGGCCAGGCCCGGAGCAGCAGCAGCCAAGTCCAGAGCAACTAGGTCGGGAGCGGCAGTGACCAGACCTGGAGCAGCTGGTTGTGAACAAACCAGAGCAACAGAGGCCAGGCCCGGAGCAGCCAGGCCCGGAACAGCTCGCTCCTCGCCTGCCCCTGCCCCATGGCTGCCTCTCAGACATGGCTGGAAACTTTCGTGGGAACTTGAGGGTCTGCTGAATCAAGTGATGAAGGCTTAGATCTGGGTGTGTTGAGTTAGTATAGGGCTGGGGTGTTGATCTGTGAGTGCCTGGATGAGGCTGGTGGACCTATTGGGAAATGTCTTTTGTGTGAAGTGTATCATTGGGCATGTGGAGGTATTATTGATTTGAGAAAATGCTAAGTAACTGATTTACTATCTGAAAAGGGATTTACTATCGGGGAAAGGGAGGGAGGAAGAGACTGAACATAAACTGTGCACCTTTGGATGAGGACAATGGGGGATGGGGAGGGGGCGGAGGGTGGGGTGGGAACCTGGTGGAGGGGGGAAGAAATGAGGAACCTTTGTAATAATATGAACAATAAAGATTGATTTAAAAAAATAAAATAAAAGAGAATAAAAATAAAAATCTATTTGGTATTGATTTCAGAGAGGAAGAAAGAGGGAGAGAGATGCTGCCTCCTGCATGCTCCCTACTGGGGATTGAGCCCTTGACCTGATTCCTACGTCGATGTCTAACCATTGAGCCACGCCTGTCACGGAAGAGAAATTCATTTTGAGGAGTAAATTGGAAAGGCTATATAAGGTGTTCCAAAACAATGTATACACACTTCAACAGCTAGTAGCCCAATTTTGAAAATGAAATTATTTTAATAAACACTGCCTTTATAATTAATTATTCAGAGTGTGTGCATACATTTTAGGGGGGACACCCTATATAGTGAGATGACAACTCTTGAGCTGGTCTTAGAAATAAGTGTAGTATCTTATTGGAGGGAGGGGATTTCTTTTTATTTTAAATTAACTCTTTATTGTTGAAAGTATTATACATGTCCCCTTTTTTCCCCATTGCTCTTCCAGCCCCCTCCCATACCAGGCCTTCACCACTCTAATGTCTGTGTCCATATATGCATACAAATTCTTTGATTGATCTCTTCCCACCCACCCACCTCTACCTTCCTTCTGAGATTCCACAGTCTTTTCCATGCATCCGTGTCTCTGGATCTATTTTGTTCATCAGTTTATTTTGTTCATTAGATTCCACATGTGAGTGAGATCATGTGATACAGAGGGAGGGAATTTCTGATGGGGAACTCAAGAAGTTAAAAAGCTTTAGCTTCAGGAGAATCCAAGATGGCTGCTCGGGTAGGCACCTAGCCGCAGCCGCACGCAACCATTTCAACAAAATACAACTAAAATATAAAATGGACATCACCCAGAACTACAGGAAAGTTGACTGACTGGAAATTCTACAACAAGAAGCAAGGAGAAAACCAGAAGGAAGCGCGGAGGAGCTGGAAAAGCCTAAGGTACGGAGACACGCGGCGCGCGGAGAGGACGGAGCCGGAGAGGAGGGAGCGGAGTGCCTGGCGGGCGTTCCCTGGCGGGAAGGAGATAAAACTCCGACTGTGCTGGGCCCCCGACTGCTCTGAACCCCAGGCCTAGGCCAGACCCCGGGGACCCAGGCTCAGCCAGAGGGAGCCGGGCTGAAAGGCGGAACCCCGGCGGCGGCGGCGGCGGCGGCGGCAGCGGCGGCAGCAGCGCCGTGCAGAGAAGGGACGGCCGGCTGTGCCGCGGGATTGCCTGGCAGGAAGGAGACGGGCTCCAGTCTGCTCTGAACGCCACCTCCAACTCCACTTCCAACTGAACTGAACCCCAGTTTCGGGCCCATTGGGGGAGAGACTAGACTGTTTGGCAGCAGGCGATCCAGGGCGCCTTTCTCTCAGAGGCGCTTGCATGGAGCACTGAAGGACCCTGAGTCTCAGGAGTCGCATAGGGCGGGGCTGACGGAAGCTAAAGCTGTAGGCTCCACCCTGAAACCCATCCCATCAGGAAAGCTGCCTGCGAAAATGCCTAAACCAAATAGATCACAAACGAAAGAAATGGAGGACAAAAAGCGACTGGATATAGAGTTCAAAACCACACTTATAAGGTTTTTCAAGAGTTTCCTAGAAAAGGCCGATAAAATAAATGAGACCTATGAGGATATGAAAAGGGATCAACAAGAAATAAAGAATACATTGTCTGAAATAAAAACTATTATACAGAGTCCTAAAAACAGAATAGAAGATCGCAAGAATCAAGTCAAAGATTTGGAACATAAAGAGCCAGAAGATACTCCTCTGCAGAAGCTAGAAGGCAAGAGAATCCAGAAAATTGAGAATCAAGTCAAAGATTTGGAACATAAAGAGCCAGAAGATACTCCTCTGCAGTCGCTAGAAGGCAAGAGAATCCAGAAAATTGAAGATGATGTAAGAAACCTCTGGGACAACTTCAAACGATCCAACATCAGAATTATGGGGGTCCCAGAAGATGAGAGAGAGCAAGATATCGAAAACATACTGAAAGGAATAGTGACAGAAAACTTCCCCCACCTGGGGAAAGAATTGGACTTACAAGTCCAGGAAGCACACAGAACTCCAAATAAAAGGAATCCAAAGAGGACCACACCAAGACAAATCATAATTAAGATTCCAAGAGCAAAAGACAAAGAGAGAATATTAAAAGCAGCAAGAGCTAGGCAGGTAGTTTACCTATAAAGGAGCACCTATACGATTGTCAGCTGATTTCTCAACAGAAACCATGCAGGCCAGACGGGAATGGCAAGAAATATTCAAGGTGATGAATAGTAAGAACCTACAGCCAAAGATAATCTATCCAGCAAAGCTATCACTCAGATTCGAAGGTCAGATAAAGAGCTTCACTAATAAAAAAAAAGCTAAAGGAGTTCATCACCACCAAACCAGAATTATATGAATTGCTGAAGGGGGTTCTTTCAGAAGAGAAAGTAAATAAAGATAAACATTATGAACAACAAATACGTAACTATCAACAAGTGAATCTAAAAACCAAGGAAATTAAAAAAAAATCTGAGGAACAATATTAACTGTTGAATATAATAGAATCAGAGGTATGGAAGGGGAGTGAACTGATGATTCTTGGGGAAAAGGGGAGAGGGGGATGTGGGAAGAGACTGAACATAAACTGTGCACCTATGGATGAGGACAATGGGGGGTGGGGAAAGGGCAGAGGGTGGGGTGGGAAGGGGGGGAAGGGACATTTGTATTAATATGAACAATAAAAATTAAAGGGAAAAAAAATAAATAAAAAATGCAAAGACAAAAAAAAAAAAAAAAAAAGCTTTAGCTTCAGATATATAGTAGTAGGCTTGGTGACGGGCATATAGAAAGCTGTTGCTCCAGAGACTGCAATGTATGGCTGGCCTGCCCTGACTTCACTTGCACCCAGGACTGCAAGGCGGTGTCTGAGCCTTGTGCTCCTGGGAAAGAATGTCCACCGCCCAGGGCACAGACAGTCACTGGTCAGGCCTGGCCTGCGTGGCTCAGTGGTTGAGCATCAACCTCTGAATCAGGTGGTCAAAGTACAATTCCTGGTCAAGCCAGTAGAGGGCGTGCAGGAAGCAGCCAATCAATGATTTTCATCACTAATGTTCCTATCTCCCTTTCCCTTCCTCTCTAAAATCAATAAGAATATACTTTAAAAAAAAAACAGAGGTGGGCTGGGAAGGGTCAATTGGGGGGGAAAGGAGACATATGTAATACTTTCAACAGTAAAGAAAAAGAAAGGAGAGGAGAGAGGAACAGAATCATCTGTCAGCAGGTGAAGGGATGCTGGGAAAATCCCTGGACTGCAGCTTTTATCTGATTAACCTTTTCCCCTGAATTTCAAACCCCTCACCTGTTTTCCCCTGAATTCCAAACCCTTTACCTACCCTTTTCTTCTCCTTATAAAAAGGGCCGGCTTAATATGAGATGTAAGGGATTTTTTAGGGTACATAACCCACCATCTTCTCGGATCACAAATATAAAGATGCAATCCTTGTCTCCACTTATTGGTTCTGATGATGACAGGTAGCATGATGACCTGCTTTTCGTTTCATTTCCAGAGAGAGCCAAGTCAAGGGATCAGACACACATGAGGCCCTCAGCCTGCAGGAAGAATGTGGAAAGTACTAAGGAGAACGTGGGGCAGCAGGGGATGGCAGAGATGCCTGGAATTGCTTGGGCAAAACCGTGGTGTGCTGGGGATGCCAGCTAGGGTGCCTGGGCGCGCAGGGGGCCTTCCGAGCACAGGGTATCACGTTGCTCTGTGTCTTAGGACGTCCCCTGCCTGCTCTCAGAGAACGACTTGCTGGGTCTCAACTAAGCAGGAAGCCCAGCGGGGAGAGAAAGCAGCCCTGGCCCTCAGGGGCTTTGAGGACAGCGTGGCGGTGGCTTGGAGAGGTCTGGGGCTGGGAGAGGAGGACGGGGGGCTGCGCTTGTGCGGCCACCGCCTCACCTCTGCCGAGCAGCGGCCGCCTGGCCACTCCCTGCACCAGGAGGAGAGCCGCTCAGGGCCGGGCAGCAGGGGAGGCGGGAGCCCAGCGCAGACCCGGCTCGTGCTCAGTCATGCACACTTCGGCCAACCAAGGGGCCTGGAAACTGCTCAAACCTCTCCGGTGGGTTAGCCATGAGAAAATATTTGTTTGTTCCCTGGGAAAGTTCCTTGGCTCCTCCTGCCGGCCTCCTGCTGCGTCTGGTCAGCGGGCTGTCAGGGGCTGCAGAGGCAGGTGGTCTTCCTCATGGGCACTGCCCTTCCCGGGGCGGGCGGCCAGGGCGGGGCTCTCCCCGGGGCCTGCGGGGAGGGGGGAGACAGTGACGTGCCCTTCGGCGGGGGGGGGGGGGGGGGCGGGCGCGAAGTCCCCAGCAGCCCCTCCCGCCTCCCTCCTCCCACAGCGTTTGGGGAGCCCCTGCCTCTGCCGGACACCGGAGACCCCAAAGAGCCGAGGGAAGTGAGAGTTAGGTGCTCGGGAGTCAGAGGAGAGGGGGCCGCACCACAGGGCGGGCAGATTGGACCCCAGAGGAGCAGGAAGGAGGCACCTTTGGGAGAGGAGACCCGAGGCCAGCAGAGGACAGGGAGCATGGAGGGGACCGGCTGTCAGGTGGAGAGGGCGTGGGATGGGGTGGGAGGACAGCAGCTTTGGTGCTTGACCTCCGCTCTGAAAGGTGGCCGGCCTTCAGTAATGGGCCGTGTAGTTTTTTCCTACGAAGAGGAACTGGAGGGGCTAAACCGGGAGAGAAAGACCTGTCCGGAGGCCGGTAAGGCTCAGCAGCCCCCCAGGCAGCACAGAATCAGCAGGAAGGAGGAGTGGGCCGAGCGGCAAGTGCTGCCCGTGGGGCCTCCAGACGGGGGAGGGGGGCAAGAAGCCGGAGGCCTCTGTGCTGAGGAGTGGGGCGGCGACATGGGCCAGCAGGACCGCCCCTCTGCTCCTGTGCAGTCCAGCAGGCCCCGGGGTGTGCGGGTGAGGTACGGGTGCTTGGGGCTTTTGAATCTGGCAGTGACGTGGTGGGGCAGCAGGACTCAGGATCAAGGACAAAGAGACGGGCAGGAAACCCGTGGGGCGCAGGCCTTGGTCAGGACCCTGGACCTGGAAGCCAGTGGGCTCTGGAGCAGGAGCAGATAAGTCCCCTGGAGGCCTCCGAGGAGACCAGGAGCTGTCCTGGGAGGGGCTGGGGCCAGAGGCACCACAGGTGGAGTCTTCTGAAAGGGACAGGACAGAGGAGAGAGCTCCGGAAGATGAGATGGGAGCTACGGAAGGTTCCAGAGGCTGTGCTGTGGAGAGCTAATTCTCAGAAGAGTCCTCTGGGTGGGGGAAGGAGTCACCGTGGTGGGAAGCAGAGGGCACAGAGGGGCTGTCACACGCTGGGAAGGAGAGGACGCAGGCTGGAGAGACGGGACAGGTGCCGAGGAACCGGCTGGAGGGGGACGAGGCTCGGTGCTTGGTCAGCAGGGCGGAGAGGACAGAGCCTGTGGGGGCCGAGACGCCACGGGCGCTGTGGGGGAGGGGCCTCCTAACGGGCTCCCCAGCTGGGCTCCAGGCTCAGCCCTGGCACCTGAATGGGTAGCAGGCTGTGGGAGGCGGAGGGACCATGTGAAGAGGCGGGAGGTGAAGACAGGTGAGGAGGTCGGGTGCAGTCCGGGTACAAGCTGGGAAGCACTAAGGGCCTGGAGGCTTTCCCAGGACGGGGGGGGGGGGGGGGGGGCACTTTCAGGGGACACTTATTCAAACGAGTGTAGCTCAGCAGAGGCCACAGCAGTGGTCCTGCCCCAGACTTTGCATAGCTAAGTGGCCAAGCACACACACACGAACACGCACATGCGAACAGACACGTGACCACACACACGGAACACAGTCTCCCACACGGCTGCTCACCAGGGTCGCCAGGCGCTGCAGGCTCCTCGCGCACCGTGGGCAGCGTCTGCTCCCAGGCAGCCCAGTTCACCTCCTCCGACCTGCGGGCAGAGCGGCACTGAGCTGGAGCCAAGGCGGGGCCCTGGCCCTGGGGGTGGGCTGAGCAGACATTCGGGGGACCGGGGACTGCCAGGAGGATGGGGTTTCTCTGCCCGTCTCCACAAGGCACCGGCCACCACAGCCCCCTGAGCCCTGGCAGCTGTGGCCCCCGTCCTGAGCCAGGTGCCGGCGGGAGGACCAGGCACCTGTCCCCGCAGGCAGTCCCCAGTGACCCGTGTGCCCAGGCCCCCAGGGCAGGGTTTAGGGCAGCTGTGCCCGTGTCCCCGCTGGGCAGGGGGGCTGCACGACCTGCCAGAGACTCGCCCTCTCCTTGCTTAACTCTCATCTCACGAAAGCGTGTTTCTGTCTGTGCGTCTGTCACCACGGCCTCGCTCAGCACCGGGTCTCCCACGGGCAGGGCCAGGTGGTTCTCTGTGAAAGGCTGTGCCCCAGTCACGTGGGGAGTTGGGAGGGGAGGTCAGACCAGCCACGGCGAGGCTGGCGTCTCTAACCGGAGGGTCCCTCTGGCTTCGTGGCCTCTTAACTGTGCCCGATTCCAGGCCACAGGAGTAGGTCAGGGACCTTCAGCCTAAGCCACAGGGACAGGCAGAGCGACAGGCAGCGGCAGCCCCTGACCTCGCCTTCCCGGGGCAGGGCAGTCCCCGTCACTCCCGAGTCCGGCTGCTGGCAGCTGTGCCGGCTTTCAGAGGGTAAGGCGGCCTTCGCCGGCCCCCTCCCCGGCCCTCACTCACCTGAAGCACCACCGCTCATCCGGGCTACCGTCTGGCCTGGTGCCAACCCTGAGCTTCACCCCTGTTGGCCGCTTCTTCCTCTTGCACCACCAGTAGCCGTGCTCCATCTCCAGGACCGAGATGGCTTTCTGGGGACAGAGGACACTCAGACAGGCACCAGGAACATGCACTCACAGTAAGTACAGGCCTAAGTGCACCGAGCACAGGCTGGACCCAGCTCCCGTGTTGGATTTCCTACGGGCCTCAGTTTCCTCACTTACAGCCCCGGTGGCTTAGGGGAAGTGTGCTTGTAGAGTGCCCAACCATCACTGGCTATCGCATCAGTACAGGTCCCAGAATTTCACACCAACAGTACGGAGGTTCATCTGCTCTAACCCACTCGTGTGCCTGCCCACTGACACACAGAGTAGGTGGGGACAGAACTCTGCAGGCAGGGACACGGCGTCTCAGAGAAGACAGGGCTCACCAAGGTCAGCAGTGAACTGGTAACACAGTCCAGCCTCCTGGGCAAGGCTCTCCCTCCACAACTGCCCAGACCACACCCAGCCCTCCCAGGTCAGGGAGCGGCTGTGGCTTCCTCCACTGAAGGTGGTGCCTTACCCGCACAGCCCGCTGCCTCACCCACCACCACCACCCACTCAGTATGTGCTGAGCGCAGGGCGGGAGCTACACGAGGGCAGACTTTGTCTTGTTCTCTGCTCTGCGTTCAGAACATAAAACTGTGCCTAGCCCCATAGTAGGCACTCAAGAGATACTGAATAATTTTGATGATGATAATAACTAACACACTGAGCACCTGCTGTGTGTCAGGCACTGATCTAAAGGCTTCAGATATGAGCTTATCCGAGCCTCACGGCAGCCCTTCGAAGACAGGAATGGATGATGGACACCCCAACAAAGGCAAGACCCAAGCCCCAGGGCCCAGGTCTGCTCCGGGGCCAGCTTGGGGAGAGGGCGGGGAGCCTCCAGGCACCTGCAGCTTCCAGGTGCTCCAGCTGTCGGTGGTGACGCTGCTGACGGTCTCGTTCATGAGGGCGATGAGCATGTTGAGCAGCAGGATGTAGGTGAGCAGCACGTAGGCCAGTAGCAGCAGCAGCACGGCCCCGCGGAAGCGCAGCCGCTCCTGGAAGGCCAGCTCGCCCATGCCGATGGTGAACTTGAAGAGCTCCAAGGCGGTCTCCATGATGCCGCGGTAGGGCACCTCGCTGCCCTCCGCGCCCTCCGGTCCTGCCCCAGACAGCGCTGCCTCCGTGGCATTCCAACTTGCGGGGACCCTGGAGTCCCGGACCTCCTGGCTCAGGCTCACCAAGGCTGCAGGAGGGCGGAATGGGTGTCAGCCTGGGGAGGCCAGCGGCAGCCTTGGGGGCTTACATGGCAGCGAGGGATGGGCAGGGGCCGGAGGGCAACCTTTACCTACAGAGAAGCCGAACAGGAAGACTAAGTACACCAGGAGGAAGCGGAGCAGGTCCCGCAGAATGACCTGGAACACACGGACCAGGAGCTGGGGTGGGTGGCTGTGCCACCAGACATGACCCCAGACCCCTGCATTGACCCTGAGCATGAGTTCCCATGTCCATACCACGCACACACACACGTGTGTGTGTATACACAGGCCCTGTGGAGCTACACTGAGCAAATGGGTCTTTTAAAAATCTACATCAGATCATGAAATTTTCCTGCTTAAAACCCTCCAGTGAAAAAAAATTAAACACAGAGTTACCATATGATTCAGCAATTCCACACCTGGGTATGTACCCAAAAACATTGGAAACAGGAACTCAAATAGATATTTGTACACATCAATGTGCAAGCAACGTTATTCACAATACCGAAGGTGGACACAACTCAGTGTCCATTGATGAATGAAGGGATAAACAAAACGTGGCATATCCATCCAATGGGACACTGTTCAATCTTAAAAGGAAGGAAACTCTGCCCTGGCCTGCATGTCTCCATGCTTAGAGTGTGGCTCCATGCACCGAAGGGTCACGGGTTCAATTCCTGGTCAAAGGCATGTACTTGGGATGCAGGTTTGATCCCTGAGGCATCTACAGGAGACAACCATCAATGTGTCTGTTTCACATTGATGTTTCTCTCTCTCCAGCCTCTCTTCCTCCCTTCCACTCCTTCTAAAAATCAATGGGAAAAAAATATCCTTGGATGAGGAATAACAAAAACAAAAACAAAAAAACAAAAAGGAAGGAAATTCTGACACGTTACATGATCAGCCTTGAGAATACTATGCCAGTGAAATAAGCCAGGACAGATACGTGTGATTCCATTTCTCTGTGATACTCATAGAGACAGAAAGTAAGAATATGGCTGCCATGGCGGGGGGGACCAGTGCAGAGTTTCAGTGTGTGAAGATGAAAGTTCTGGAGATGATGGGGGTGATGGTTGCAGAACAATGTGAATGTGCTTAATGCCACAGACTTGCACACTTAAAAAGGTTAAGCCTAGCCAGCTTGGCTCAGTGGATAGAGCATTGGCCTGTGGACTGAAGGGTCTCGGGTTGGATTCCAGTCACGTTCCTCAGTGGAGTGCATATGGGAGGCAACCAATTGATGTGTCTCTCTCACATTGATGTTTCTCTTTGTGTCTCTTCTTCTCCCTTCCACTCTCTCTAAAAATCAATGGAAAAATACCCTCGGGTAAGAATAATTTTTTTAAATATATTTTATTGATTTTGTACAGAGAGGAAGGGAGAGAGACAGAGAGTTAGAAACATCGATGAGAGAGAGTCATCAATCAGCTGCCTCTTGCACACTCCCCACTGGGGATATGCCCGCAACCAAGGTACATGCCCTTGACCAGAATCGAACCTGGGACCCTTCAGTCCCCAAGCCGACGCTCTATCTATTGAGCCAAACCGGTCTCGGCAAGAATAATTTTTTAAAAAGGTAAAAATGGTAAATTTTATGTATATTTTACCACAATCATAACATTTTTAAATCCTCCTGGGCCTCCTAACCCCTTCCCATGGGCAACAACTCTCCTCAACTTCATCTCCTTCCCTCGCCCAGCCTCCTCTCAAGCACTTCACCCTTGTTCTGACCACTGGCCTTTCCTTGCTGTTCTCTTTGTCTTGAATCTTCTTGCTTGAGTCTATGCTGAGTCACTCTTTCAGGTCTCAGTCGCCACCTCCTCAGAGGGGCCTTGCAGACTAAAGCCCTTCCTCTGGTGCCCTTCACAGGAGCCAGCAGTCAGCAATCTTCTCATCTGTTTTTGCAGGGCCTTCATTTCCCCCAAGAGAATGTCAGCTTCAAAAGAGCGTGGACTGCCAAAACCGGTTTGGCTCAGTGGATAGAGCGTCGGTCTGCGGACTGAAAGGTCCCAGGTTCGATTCCGGTCAAGGGCATGTACTTTGGTTGCAGGCACATCCCCGGTGGGGGGTGTGCAGGAGGCAGCTGATCGATGTTTCTCTCTCTTTGATGTTTCTAACTCTCTATCCCTCTACCTTCCTCTCTGTAAAAGATCAATAAAATATATTAAAAAAAAAAAAAAAAAAAAAAAGAGCGTGGACTGCCCTAGCTGGTTTGGCTCAGTGGATAGAGCAGCAGCCTGTGGACTAAAGGGTTCCAGGTTCGATTCCATTCAAGGGCACATCCCTGGGTTGCGGGCTTGATCCCCATTAAGGGACATGCAGGAGGCAGCTGATCAATGATTCTCATCATTGATGTTTCTATCTCTTTCCCTTTCCCTCCCTCTCTGAAATCAATAAAGATATATATTTTTTAAAAAGAGCATGGATTTGTCTATTTTGTTAGTGAACAGAATAGTACCTTTATATTCTTTTTTTAAAATATATTTTATTGATTTTTAACAGAGAGGAAGGGAGAGAGATAGAAAGCCAGAAACGTCGATGAGAGAGAAACATCGACCAGCTGCCTCCTGCACACCCCCATTGGGGACGTGCCCGCAACCAATGTACATGCCCTTGACCGGAATCGAACCCGGGATCTTTCAGTCCGCAGACCGATGCTCTACCACTGAGCCAAACCAGTTCCGGCTATTCTTTTTTTAAATATATTTTACTGATATTTTACAGAGAGGAAGGGAGAGGGATAGAGAGTTAGAAACATCAATGAGAGAGAAACATCGATCAGCTGCCTTCTGCACGCCCCCCACCAGGGATGTGCCCGCAACCAAGGCACATGCCACTGACAGGAATCAATTCTTAACACTTAAAACAGGGCCTGGCCCATCGTCTGGACTTCCTAAATGTTTGTGGAATAAATAAATGCAGACGCATTCATATGCCCAGCTGGCCAGGCATATAATGAGCGTGTGTGCACAGTCTCTGCTCTGTCGGTGTGCAAGGATGCACGTGCTCCCGGGTGGCCACTTGCAAACACACGGGTGCAGGCATTTGCTTGCGTAGGCAGAGCGCAGACCCCCGAGAGCAGGTTGTGCACCGCCACACCCGTGCTGACATTCAGCGAGTGCGGGTGTGGGATGCACACACTCATGTTCTCCTCGGAGAAGCCGAGACTGCCGGGGCCAAAGGAGTCCCGCTGGAGGCGGTGTCCGGCGCCCACTTTGGTGGCAGTGGCACCTGCTCTCACCTTCTGGATCATGACGCTGTAGATGCCTGTGTACTGGAAGCCGCGTGTGTAGTAGAGCAGGTTCAGCCAGCCCAGCACCAGCGAGGACACGAGCAGAGGCAGGTACCACTCCACAGCCAGGAAGTGCAGCGCCTGGGACAGCACCGTGAGCAGGGCCTGCAGCAGGCTGATGGGGACGGGGAGGCACAGGCTCAGCTCGCAGGCCACTGACAAGACCCCCTTAGGCTCGCTGGCCAATGCCTCCGGTGGGTGAGTGCTCCCCTGTCTGGGGCTAGACCCTCATCCTGACCTCCGCCCCTGTGGGTCTCAGTTCCCTCCCCGGGGAACATGTGGTAACAGCAACCACCTGACTCACAGAGCATTTGTGAGAATTCAGTGAGACCAGACACAGAAAGCGTTCAGGCTCCCTCGGGCACAGTGAGGGGCAGGAAATGCTCTACACGGATGGGAGCAGAGGGAACCCCAAGCTGGACAGCGGACTCATGAGTCTGGCCCTGGTTCCAGCCCCTGGGGACACCCCGGCCCTGGGTCCTCCCCTCCAGAGCCCGCTGGGTGCCCCCGCCACACCGCCCTCGGGGCCTGAGGCGGAGGAGGAGTGAGGCCACGTACAAGAGCAGTTCAAAGTAGCTGTCCAGGAACGAGATCCAGATGAACAGGCGGCGCCTCCAGAAGTACCACAGCTGCGGGAGGGGGGGCAGCGTGTGAACCTTGCTCTCCGGCCGCACACAGCCCTGGGCCGGGCAGGGCTCCCACCTGCCCCTGCCTCCTCGCCACGTGGGCCTGCTGTGACTTTTCAGAGGAGCCCATGAATTTTGCTGATAGCTAAGAAAGGTTAGGACCCTGATTCCAAAAAGTGCAGCCGCCCACTGACACCGAGGCGAGGCCAGGACCCCCTGGGTCCGAAACAAGAGCTCCTGCACTGCTTATGGTGGGGGTGCTCCCTGCCCTCCCTGCCCTGCCTCCTGGCCTGGAGTGGTGCCCAGGTTCTGCCCACTCTGAGAGAGTCCTGGTGCCATGTCCAGCCTGCAAGCTTGCAGCGTTTTCAAATGTAGAAGCCTTGCTGGGGGAGCTGGACTGAGCCCCACCTTTCCGTGCTCCCCAGGGAGGAATGCCCCCGCTCAGGGACCTGGCAGGGCTGGCACTGGCAAGGAGTCATAGGAGCCGCCTCCTACGCTGCAGGCAGTCTGGAGCAGCGGGCCACCGCGGTCCACGGGGTCCGAAGGGCTGGTGACCGCTGCTCCAGAAAGCTTAGTGGGAGGGTGGCAGCCCGGCAGGGAGCCTTCCACTGCCCGAGGCAGTCAGGGTGGGGCTGGTTCTGTTCCGGACACGAAGGTGCGTGGTTACCTGGCGCTAAGGCTCCTCGCGGCCGGCAGGCTGGGAGCCACGCGGAGTGGGGAGTGGAAGGACCCTCACCTGGCCCGCCAGGAGGTAGCCGCCCCCAAGCAGGATCAGGATGTGGCCCAGGAGCTGCAGGGAGTTTCCCACGGTCCCTTTCATGGGGAGGAAGGCCTGTGAGGAGACACTCAGGTTAGGCCGTGGGGGCCCTCCCAATGGCCCAGCCTCCGAGCACCAGAGCTGAGGCCCATTCTGAGCCTGAGCTGTGCAGAGGCCCCCGGAGCGGCAGAGGGCCCGGGGCCCGGGCAGGTCCGCTGGACTCCAGTCCACCTGGCGGAGCATGTGAGGGGCACGGGAAGCCGGGCTGCCTGGCTCAGATCCCATCTCCACACTCACACTGTGTGAGCCTGGACGCGTTATCTGCCCTCTGTCCCTCCCCCCTCCACTGTAAGTGGGACACAGTTCATTTCCGATGGTTGTGAAACTGATTAAAATCTCATATGCGGTGAGTGCTCCTCCTGTGGAGCTGGCAGCCCACTGGCCCTGGAGAGCCTGAGGTCACTCAGCAGGCAGAGCCTGGCACAAGCGTTTGCAGGATGGGGGGGGGGGGCGCTCTTTGTCCAGCTCTCCAGGGCTGCTCCAGAGCCCCCCGGGGAATGCCCCTCCCCAGCCTTGCCTCTTCCAGGACAGGCTCGCAGTAGACCACGGCGGTGAAGATGAGCATGTAGATCAAGAAGCACAGGAAATTGAAGAAGAACCTGGGCATGAGCAGGTCCCATTTCGCCTGCAGCAGTTTGTTCAGCGGCTCCAAAACCACCATTTGGTGTCGGTGCTGGTGGGAAGGTGGCGCCAGGGCCATTCAGCAGGAGTACACGGGGCCCACTCGTGGCCTCAGTGCAAGGGCTGGGGAACGGAGAGGAGGATGGGAGTCCCAAGTGACCCCTCCCACCTGCCTCCACCCCACCCTCCTGACTAGGCAGTGGGACTGGCGAGTGGGACGAGTGTGGGGTCAGGACGCGCAGCCACCCCACGGGCACGGAACAGGGCAGCGAGGCCAGCAGGCAGCCCGGTGGGGACCCTGCGGGAGCCCTCTGCAGGGCGGCTCACCGGGCTCCTGCAGTGGAAGGCGATGATCTCCAGCACCGAGTTCTCCTCCCAGCTGTCCACAGAGGCCAGGTCATACAGGGACACCCGGACCGGCCCGTAGCACCACTCGGTGAACTTCCGGGAAAGGCACTGGTACGGCCCCGAGAACTCCCGCTGCAGGATGTGTCTGAAAATCTGCAGGGCGGTCACTGAGCTTGGCCCTCCAGACCGCCTCCCAGCACCACCGGACTCTGAAAAGTACTCTGTCTGCAGAGCTGCGGCTGGCAGCACACGCCCTGTCCACATGGGTCCTTGTATGTATAAACGCTCAGAAAGGGTCCCTCACCAGAACTGGGCTGGTGTGCTCAGTGGTAGAGCATCAATCCATGCACAGAAGGGTCTCGGGTTCCATTCCTGGTCAAAGGCATGTACCTGGGTTACAGGTTTGATCCCTCCCCCTCCCTGATCAGTGTGTGTGGGAGGCAACCAACCAGTATGTCTCTCACACATTGATGTTTCTCTCTCTTCCTCTCCCCCCCCCCATTCTACTCTTGCTAAATGGGGGGGGGGGGGGGATCCTCACTCCTCTGGGAGGATAAAAAAAGGGAGAGAAATAATTTGGTTTCACAAATGAGAAGCGGGGAAAGGAAGAAGCAGTGGGGAGCCCCTCTCAGCCGTGCCTCCAGGCACAGAGGGCGGTTCCACCCCGCAGCCTGGAGGGCAGACAGAAAACAGCAGATGTGCTGTGTCTGCTCCTCTCGGCGTTAGGAGTGCCTGTGTTCTAAGCTCTCTCGGGGCTTTGTAAGCTACTCGGGGTCAGCCATTAAGCCAGCCCTGACAACAGTGAGAACTGGTAAGCATTTTGGAAAACAAGTAGAGCTGGATCATGTTTACTCTTTATACCAAAATGACTTCACAGTTGTAGGCACAGTCCTAGCTAGTTTGGCTCGGTGGATAGAGCATCGACCTGCGGACTGAAGGGTCCCGGGTTAGAGTCCAGTCAAGGACACTTAAAAAAAAAGCTTGTAGCCGAAACCGGTTTGGCTCAGTGGTAGAGCGTCGGTCTGCGGACTGAAGGGTCCCGGATTCGATTCCGGTCAAGGGCATGTACCTTGGTTGCGGGCACATCCCTGGTAGGGAGTGTGCAAGAGGCAGCTGGTCAATGTTTCTCTCTCTTCGATGTTTCTAGCTCTCTATCCCTCTCCCTTCCTCTCTGTAAAATAAATAAATAAATAAATAAAAATGCTAATTGTTCAATATAAAGGACACTCACCAACCAAGGTGAAAAAAACATGAGAGCCGTCTAATGGCAGAATAGGCAAGGACATGAATATGTTGTCTCCTAATCAAGAAACCCAATGACTGTGTTGTTGTTGTAAATCCTCGCCTGAGGATAGTTTTTCATTTATTTTTAGAGAGAATGGAAGGGAGGGGAGAGGCACCAAGGAACATCAATGTAAGAGACACACACTGGGTGGAGGATGGAGCCTGCAACGGAGATACATCTTCTTCTTCTTTTTTAATCAGTCTTTATTGTTCATATTATTACAAAGGTTCCTCATTTCTTCCCCCCTCCACCAGGTTCCCACCCCACCCCCGCCCCCTCCCTGCCCCCATTGTCCTCATCCATAGGTGCACAGTTTATGCTCAGTCTCTTACGGCATCCACCACTCCCCCTTTCCCCGAGAACGGTCAGTCCACTCCCCTCCCGTATCGCCGACTCTACTACAATGAACCGCTAATATTGTTCATCAGGTTTTTCAATCTCCATTTTTTGTTGTTGTTTTTTTAAAATTAATAAACTTTTACACTTCCAAGAACAAATTTTAAAATCTAATAATTTTAAACCTTGTTTTTTTCTGCTCTGGGAACTGAGAAGCAAACTTGTTTACATGTAAACTTGCCCTGAGGCTATCAAAAGGTGTAGCCATTCAAGTGTAAATGGACACATTGTTTAAACATAGCTGCTGGCTGGAATTGGATTATTAGGTACATCTTCTTGACCAGAATCGAACCCAGTACCCTTCAGGCCAAGGGCTGACGCTCTTATCACTGAGCCAAACCAGCTAGGGCCCAAATGACTTTTTAAAAAAAAATGCCTGTGATTTATTGAAGCCAATGTCACCCCAATAAATTCAATAAAAACTAAAAATAAAATGGGGAGAATCCCTGTGCTTTATAATGTAATATATTAGTTCAGTAGTTAGATACAGTCTCTCAATGAACACACGTGTCAGAGGCTGAAATGTTCTTGTGAATAGGGGTGCTCAGTTGAAAAGTGGGGAGACCGCTGCTTTCCACCCCCACCCCCCCCCAGGCTCTGTCTGCTTCCCGGGCAGTGGGGCGGGGGCTGCCGCTCACCTCTATTTTGCCCTCCTGGGCAGCCAGCTTGAGGGGTGTCAGGCCCTGCAGGTTGGGGGTGTCCTCGAGCTGCAGCGAGGGGCAGAGGCCGGCCGCAGCCTGGAGCAGCCTGTCGTACATGTGGGCCACCAGCGCGCTGTTCTCGGGCGAGTTGTCCGCGATCGCCACCAGCGCGTGCAGGACCGTGTTGCCCAGCGAGTCGGCCGCCCGCAGGCTGGCAGGCTGGCGCTCCAGGAGGTAGGCTGCCACGTCCCACTGGCCGGTGCATGCCGCCAGCGAGAGGGGCAGCTCGCCTGGGGCCAGGGCAGCGTCACCGCCTGCTCTCCACGCTCCGGGGCAGAGCCAGGCCCGGGGAAAGGATGGGCACTGCCCCGGCCCCGGCCTTCAGAGAACACTGGCGATGGCAGCCGCGTCGGCTCCGACGCAGGGAGAGGGGACCAACGGCTACCACCCGGGGGAACAGCACGGGCCAGCCAGAGGGCCCCGTGCTCCTGCCTCTTCCTCTCCGTCAGCAGCCCCAGGCCCACTGCTGCCTGACGTGGGTGCCCTCAGCCAGGCCCTGTCTGGGGACTCCAGCCACATGCCAGTTCTAGCAGCCATGCCCAGCCCTGGCCCAGCTGGGGGACGTGGCCGGCCTCTTCGGCCAGACTGGGGTAAACATCTCTTAAGACAAAATGCTTGCCAAACCGGTTTGGCTCAGCGGATAGAGCATCGGCCTGCGGACTGAAAGGTCCCAGTTTTGATTCCGGTCAAGGGCATGTACGTTGGTTGCAGGCACATCCCCAGTAGGAGGTGTGCAAGAGGCAGCTGATGGATGTTTCTCTCTCATCGATGTTTCTAGCTCTCTATCCCTCTCTCTTCCTCTCTGTAAAATATCAATAAAATATATTTTAAAAAAAGACAAACTGCTCCGCAGGCAGCCTGGTGGCTGGAAGCCCGGGCCTCAGGGTTGGCTAGAGTAGGCTTGAAGGGCCAGCCCTACCACCTCCATCCACGTGCCAGCCCGCTCCGCCCGCCAGGCCTCACTTGAATCAAGACTCCTCACCAAAATAAAAGCAGGTGCCGTGGCTTTTCTTCTGGAAGAAGCGGCCGCAGGCCCGGGCGTGCACGTCGGCCCCGTTCTCCACCAGGAGCCGCACGCACTGCAGGCTCCGCTTCTCGATGGCGATGTGCAGGGCGCTGTGGCCTCGGTAGTACTCATCTGTGCACTGGGCATTGACCAGGGGCCTGGGGTTGCCCGAGTCCCGGTCGATCTGCAGCAGCGGCAGGATGCAGGCGTTGGCTCCATCCCGGAGGTTCAGCACGGCCTTCATCAGGCATGTCTTCCCGGTGGAGCCCTCTGTGGGAAGGGGGAGGGCACGGGGCACGAGGGCGCTCAGACCTGGAGCAGCTGGGCCCAGTGCCAAAACGCCCTTGGGAGGACGGATGCCACCCAGGACTGGTGGGAGCACAGCCCCAGTACAGGGCATTATGGCTCCAGGGACCACCGTTTCCGCCCTAGAAACTGTTTCAGACATAATGTGTCATGTGTACAACGTTGTCTGTGCAATGGCATTGGCCCAGCGTTTGTTACGTGGCTTCCCCGCCTAATGGTTCTGTCTCCTCACTCAGGTCACCTGGCCTCTCCCAAGCTCAAGTGTGAAGCGGGAATGTTCCCGGGTTGTGGTGAGGATCAAATGGAATTCTATGCAGAATGCTTAGCACACAGAGGGCCTGGCCCACTGTGTGGAGGCCGAAAACTACAAACAACCTAAACGACCACCAGGAAGAAATGAGTTAGTGAGGTTACGGTACAGCCACGAAATGGAAGACGCTACAGTGGTGAAGTGGCTAAGCCAGAGGTGTATATACTGAATGGCAAGTGCTACGAGATGTAGTAAGCAGGGGGAAGCACATTACAAACGAACGTATATACATGACCTCATATATGTAAATAGATACCTAATATTTTAAAAATATGTTTTTATTGATTTTTTCTTTTCTTTTCTTTTTCTTTTTCTTTTTTAGAGAGAGGGGGGAGGGAGAGAGAGAGACAGACAGACAGACAGACAGACATTGATTGGCTGCCTCCTGCACACCCCCAACTGGGGATCAAGCCCACAACCCTGGCATGTGCCCTGACTGGGAATCAAACCTGTGAACTCTCAGTGCATGGGACAACTTCAACCAACTGAGCCCCATCGGCCAGGGCCACGTAACATATTTAAATAGTTTGAAAAGATGTTTCCCAAGCCATCCACAGGAATCCAGGACAACAGACATTTTACCCCCAGCTTTCATTTCTATTTTAATCTTCTAGAAAGAACAAGTTATCTTTCTAATTAGCCTTAAATAATAAAGATATTTAGATTGGGGTAAAGAATGCTCTGAGATGGGTGAAGTATATTATATGTGTACTACCTGTATATATAAAAGCTAATATGCAAATTGTCCCCAAAGGAGTTCTACCGGGAGACCAATCGCTTGCTATGATGTATGCTGACCACCAGGGGGCAGCACAAAACAAAGGAAGGCCCCAGCCAACAGCTGGCAGCCGGGAAAGGGAGGCCCCAGCTAGCAGCTGGAAGGCCCTGATCGGCCTGACCAGGTCTAGGGATCCTACCTGTGCACAAATGTCATGCCCCAGGCCTCTAGTCCTAAATAATAAAATGCTAATTGCAAATTGACCAAACAGCAGAACTGGTCACTATGATGCACACTGACCACCAGAGGACAGACGCTCAACACAGAAGCTGCCCCCTGGTGGTCAGTGTGCTCCCACAGCACGAGCAACACTCAGCCAGAAGCCAGGCTTACAGTTGGTCAGTGCAGTGATGGTGGCATGAGCCTCTCTCACCTGCACTGCAGGCAGGTGGTAAGGAGCAAGGACTCCCAGACAACAATCCCCCGAGGGGTCCTGGACTGCGAGAGGGTACAGGCAGGGCTGAAGGACCCCTCCCCAGTGCACAAATCTCATGCACCAGGCCTCTAGTATCTCAATAATGCTGTTATTTAAAAAGATCAAAGACTTGCCGAAACTGGTTTGGCTCAGTGGATAGAGCATCAGCCTGCGTACTGAAAGGTCCCAGGTTCGATTCCAGTTAAGGGCATGTACATTGGTTGTGGGCACATCACTGGTGGGGGGTGTGCAGGAGGCAGCTGGTCGATGATTCTCTCTCATTGACGTTTCTAGTTTTCTATCCTTCTCCCTTCCTCTCTGTAAAAAATCAAAAAAATATATATATTTAAAAAAAAAAAAAGGTCAAAGACTCGAGGAGAAAACAAGATGGCAGCATAGGTAAACACCTAACTGCAACCTCACACAACAATTTCAAAAAAACACAACTAAAATACAAAATGGACATTATCCAGAACTACAGGAAAGTTGACTGACTGGAAATTCTACAACAAGAAGGAAAGAGAAAACCAGAAGGAAAATCAGAGGAGCTGTAAAAGCCTAAGGTACGGAGACACAGTACGTGTGGGGAGAGGATGGAGCCGGAGAGGAGGGGGTGGCTGAGTGCCTGGCTGGCGTTCTCTAACAGGAAGGAGATAAAAGCTCCGGACTGTGCTGAACCCCAGTTCTGACAGCACTGAGCCCCAGTTCTGGGCGAGACCCTGGGGACCCAGGCTCATACAGATGGAGTCTGGGCTGTAAGGTGGAAACTCAGGGGAGCGGCAAAAGGCAGTCCTGGAAGCGTGCACATTGCGCGCAGAGACTGTACCACTGGATTGCCCTAGAGGGAAGAAGACATAAGCTCCGGACTGCTCTGAACCCCACTTCCAATCCCACTCCCAACTGCACTGAACCCCAGTTCCGGGCTCAGTGGGGGAGAGCCTAGACTGTTTGGTAACGGGTGAAACTCGAGGGCCCTTTCTCTCAGAGGTGCTTGCAGCGAGTACCGAAGGGCACTGAGGGACACTGAGACTCAGGAGCCTCACAGGGCGGGGCTGACGGAAGCCAAGGCTGTAGGCTCCACTCTGAAACTTCACCCCATCCAAGCTGAGCAGAAGCTTTTGCAATTTTCCAAGTCTAGTCGAATAAGGCTGTCTCCTGGCATAGACACAGCTGATCCTCACAGCCAATTGGCCTGCAGGTCAGTTCCTCCCAGTGATGCCAACAACAATCAAGACTTAACTACAACAAAGCTGTACATACACTCCACAAAAGGGGACACCAAGAGTGTCCACCTCAGGTAACTGGGAGACTGACCCACTGAACCACATAGGACACCTTAGCACACAAAGCCACCCTCCCAACTCAGGGAAGCAGCAAAAATGCCGAGACAAGGAAACAGATCACAAACAAAAGAAATGGAGGACAAAAAGTGACTGGATATAGAGTTCAAAACCACGCTTATAAGGTTTTTCAAGAATTTCCTAGAAAAGGCCGATAAAATAAATGAGATCTATGAGGATATGAAAAGGACTCAACTAGAAATAAAAAGGGATCAACTAGAAATAAAGAGTACGTTGTCAGGAGAAACCAAGATGGCAGCACAGGTAAACACCTAACTGTAACCTCACACAACAATTTCAAAAAATACAACTAAAATATAAAGTGGACATTATCTAGAACTACAGGAAAGTTGACTGACTGGAAATTCTACAATGAGAAGAAAAGAGAAAACCAAAAGGAAAATCAGAGGAGCTGTAAAAGCCAAAGGTACGGAGACATGTTGCAGGTGCGGAGAGGACGGAGCCGGAGAGGAGGGGGAGGCTGAGTGCCTGGCTGGTGTTCCCTAGCAGGAAGGAGATAAAAGCTCCAGACTGTGCTGAACCCCAGTTCTGACAGCACTGAGCCCCAGTTCTGGGCAAGACCTTGGGGACCCAAACACATATGGAGGGAATCTGGGCTGTAAGGCGGAAGCTCAGGGGAGCAGTGAAAGGCAGAGCCCCGGAGTCACACACATGGTGCACAGAGGACTGACTATTGATTGAGCTGCTGGATTGCCCGAACAGGAAGGAGATAAAAGCTCCGGACTGTGATGAACCCCAGTTCCGACAGCACTGAGCCCCAGTTCTGGGCGAGACCCTCGGGCCCCAGGCTCATACAGAGGGAATCTGGGCTGTAAGGCAGAAGCTCAGGGGAGCAACGAAAGGCAGAGCCCCCGAGTCGCGCACATTGCAGGCAGAGGACAGACTGTTGATTGAGACGCTGGATTGCCCTAGCAGGAAGGAGACATAAGCTCCAGACTGCTCTTAACCCCATTTCCAACTGCACTGAACCCCAGTTGCGGGCTTGCTGGGGGAGAGACTAGACTGTATGGTAGCGGGCAAAACTCTAGGGCACCTTTCTCTCAGAGGTGCTGTAGCGAGTACCAAAGAACACTGAGGAACACTGAGACTCAGGAACCTCATAGGACGGGGCTAACCAGAAGCCAAGGCTGTAGGCTCCACCCTGAAACTCTGCCCCATCCAAGCTGAGCACAGAGGCTCTTGCAGTTTTCCAAGTCTAGTCGAATAAGGCTGTCTCCTGGCATAGATACAGCTGATCCTCCCACCCTACCAACTCAGGGAAGCAGCGAAAATGCTGAGACAAGGAAACAGATCACAAACGAAAGAAATGGAGGACAAAAAGCGACTGGATATAGAGTTCAAAACCACGCTTATAAGGTTTTTCAAGAATCTCCTAGAAAAGGCAGATAAAATAAACAAGACCTATGAATATATATGAAAAGGGATCAACTAGAAATAATAAAGGATCAACTAGAAATAAAGAATACATTGTCTGAAATAAAAAATATTATACAGAGTCCTAAAAACAGAATGGAAGATCGCAAGAATCAAGTCAAAGATTTGGAACATAAAGAGCCAGAGGACACTCCTTCGCAGAAGCAAGAAGATAAGAGAATCCAGAAAATTGAAGATAATGTAAGAAACATCTGGGACAATTTCAAGCGAACCAACATCAGAATTATGGGGGTCCCAGAAGAAGAGAGAGAGCAAGATATCGAAAACATACTGAAAGAAATAGTGACAGAAAACTTCCCCCATCTGGTGAAAGAATTGGACTTACAAGTCCAGGAAGCACACAGAACTCCAAACAAAAGGAATCCAAAGAGGACCACACTAAGACACATCATAATTAAAATGCCAAGAGCAAAAGACAAAGAGAGAATATTAAAAGCAGCAAGAGCAAAGCAGATAGTTACCTATAAAAGAGCACCCATACAATTGTCAGCTGATTTCTCAACAGAAACCACGCAGGCCAGACGGGAATGGCAAGAAATATTCAAGGTGATGAATAACAAGAACCTACAGCCAAAAATACTCTACCCCGAAAAGCTATCACTCAGAATCAAAGACCAGATAGAGAGCTTCACTAATTTAAAAAAGCTAAAAGAGTTCATCACCGCCAAACCAGAATTATATGAATTGCTGAAGGGGGTTCTCTATGAAGAGGAAGAAAATAAAGATAAAAATTATGATCAACAAATACGTAACTATCAACAAGTGAATCTAAAAACCAAGGGAATTAAAAAATCTGATGAACAATATTAACTGTTGAATATAATAGAATCAGAGGTATGGAAGGGGAGTGAACTGACGATTCTTGGGGAAAAGGGGAGAGGGGGGCGTGGGAAGAGACTGACAAAAACTGTGCACCTATGGACGAGGACAATGGGGGTGGGGAAAGGGCAGAGGGTGGGGTGGGAACCTGGTAGAGGGGAACAATGGAGGGGGGAAAAATGAGGAACATTTGTAATAATATGAACAATAAAGATTTATTTTAAAAAATCAAATATAAGTACAACCAATGGACATAAAACTCTGGGGAGGGAGGGGATACATGGGAGGGAAGGAGGGGGGCAAAAAAAAATCAATAAAATATGTAAAATAAAAAAAAAATAAATAAATAAAAAAAAATAAAATAAAATAAAAAAAAAATAAAAAAATAAATTAAAAAAAAAAAAATAAATAAAATAAAAAATCAAATAAAGAAGGAAAGAAATGCGGGAGGCAGGAAGAAAAAGGAAAGAGATGGGAAAGAGGAAGGTAAGGGAAAGGGGGAAGGGAGGGAGGGGAGGGGAAGGGAAGGAAAGGAGGGGAGGGAAGGGGAGGGAAAGGGGGAGAGAGGGAAGGGAGAGGGAAAGGGGAGGGGGAAGGGGAGGGAAAGGAGAAAAAGGAAGCATTGAGATGCCCACAAGTACCCATGCCTTGGTGTGCCAGTGGCATGGTGGGAAGTGGTTGGCACAGCCATGACCGGATGGTGGGAAGTGGTCGGCACAGCCATGACCGGGAGGTAGGGGGAATCCTTGGCTCTGTCAGCAGGGCCCCTGCAGCCATTCCAGCAGGAGGGTCTGCTGCTAAGAACAGTCCCCCTTAAAAAAAATAAAGAAAAGAAAAGAAAAAAGAAAACCCCCACCCTTGTCTTCTCCTGACCATGGTCAAGACCCACAGCCAGCACGCCCCGCACAGCAGGGACAGCCCCGCACAGCCCGCACAGCCGGACCCGGGCTCCGCGGAGGGCGGCCTGGGCATACCTGTGAACTCCGAGTCGGTGAGGTACTTGCTGGTGGCGCGCAGGTACTCCGGCAGCCCCGCCAGGTCCTGGGGGTTGCCCCGGGCAACCGCGCTGAAGAGCCGGTCCCGGTCGAAGCGGTTTGGGTCCTGGCTGCAGGGATGAGATCTGTGACTGATGCTGGGAGGAGCCACGCCCCCGGAGAGCCCATCCCAGGAGCCCAGGGAGCACTGCATGCCGGGAGCTTCCCCCAGGGCAAACCGGGGGACCCCGGAGCTCCCAGCCCAGGAGCGGGGGTGGGGTGCCTGGAGAAGGGGGAACAGGGCCCATGTCCGTGGCTCCAGGCATCACGCTGCTCCCCACACCGGTCCTTGTCGTCTGCAAGGTGCCTGAGGATGGGTCCGCAGGCTCACTGTCCCACAGGGTGGGCCTCAGCACAGGGCCTTCCCTGGCCCCTGAGCTAGCCAGGCGGGCGGGGCTGCAGACCGGCTGGCTGTGCGCCTCGCTGGCCTTGACAAGGGGTCAGGCAGCCCTCATCCTCTCAGAAACAATGCAGCATCTGCTTTCACTTCAGCCTGGGGTCAGGAACTCGCTTTCTCTTTTAGACAAAAAAGGCAATAAAGTGACTTCCCCGGCACGTGATGCAGAGCCCAGGGCTCCCAGGGGGCCTGTCTAACCACCGCCCACCGGACTCCCAGCCCCAGAGTCCTAGGCGGGCACACAGGGTTTCTCACTCAGGGCCCAGCACGTGCTCGCTGAGTCGGACTGAGAAGCCACACTTCCGGGAAGGGCCCGGAGGGGCCTCCTACTTCTTCAGAATCTCGCGGAGTCTGGTGACAGGAAAGGGAAGGAGTGCCCCTCCTGGGCTTGGCACTATTCACAGAGACAAGCTCATCCTCGGGCCCCTGGCCATGACCAGCAGACAGGGAGGGACAGACAAAGGGGCCTATAACGTTGGGGACCCTCAGGTCCTAGCCTCACAGCTCCCGTAGGTGGTGGTGACCGCTGAGGGAGGGGATTGTTGGGATCAGTTGTGGATGAAGTCATGTCCACATGACTGAGGGCCGGACCCGCCGCCTCCACCCCCAGAAGCTGCACCTCCGCCTCGCCTGGCCAGACGCACATCATCTGCCCGCGACCACGTGGCCACAGGGGAAGTGTCTGCTTGGACAGGGTTCTCCCTTTCTTAGGGTGACATCATAGTCACAGGGTGGGAAGCCCCTCAGGGACACAGACTGAGATGCCAAAGGGCGTCAAGGGGCCCATTCTGCCTGTCCGCTGGCTACCCAGCTCCCAACAGCCTCTGAGCAGCCTCTCCGTCTCCGTCTGCGGGGCCTCGGGCCCCAGCGGCAGGGGCTCTGGGCTGGAGGCCACGGCGGGGGCTCGGCCCAGGCCTGAGGAGGAAGGAAGGGCCTTCCCTGGCAGAGTCCCACCTGCACCATGGAGAGTCTCCTGGTCAGAACTTGTATGTCAGACCCACACTGGCGGGGGGGGGGGGGGGGGGGCAGAGATATCCCCTCCTCTCCCCGGAGCCGGGCTGGAAGAGTCACTCCTGGCAGGAGGGTCTCACACAGTCTGAACTGACACAGACCACGGAAACGCTACATGAAGGTGCTCCCAGCAGAAGCCTGCCGTCCACCAGCCCAGAATCCACACCCGTGGCTGACCGGCTCAGCTTGGACTGGAGTGTCCCCCTGTCATAGGGACGTGACAGGGGGCCGGCATAAACGGGGGGATGCGAGGGCCAGCTGAGCACTTGGAGCTGGAGGAGTATGTCCCTTTGAAGAAGAGCGTGACCTCAGAAGGCAGAAGGGCAAGAGCAGAGAAGGTTCTGGAAGGGGCAATCCCCAGAGCAGAGCAGAGGTCAGCCTGTCGGGGCCAGGAGCTGTCCCAGTCAGACTGAGGACCCGCCCAGTGCTCTGCTGGAAGTGAGGGGCCCCGGGCTGCACCCCCATTTGCTGCCTTACCTGGCACCTGCTCCCTTCCGGTAGTTGAGGTTCACTCTGATCTGAGGGGAGAAGTTCCGGTCCTCGCCCACATAGGGTGACTCCATGGGGGGCAGCACATCCCCGAGGCCCCGCTTTCCTCCGTCCACATCAGCTCCATCTTCCGGGCCCCCGTCAGAGGTCTCCAGCCTGAACGGAGGGGGCCCGGAGCCCGAGGCCATGCTGGCGGCCGCCCCGCGGGGAGCCCTGTGGGGGAGATCAGAGCGCGCCCGCTGCGCCCCGGCCGCCTGCGCCCCAGGGGCAGCGCCGGGTTTGGAGCAGCCCCCGGGGGTGGGGGCGGGGCCGCGAGGAAGGAAGGAGGAGGGCGTTCAGGGTGAGGGTGGGTCCTCGGAGCGGGAACAGGGCCCACAGGTCTGCCTCTTAGACGTGTGCCACCGAAGGGCGTGGTGGGCCCTGGCTTCCCTCCAGGACTGCCTGACGCAGAGGCCACAGCCCGGCCGGCGGGAGCAGCGGGGCGCCCAGCACCGGCCTCTCCGCCCCCGCAGCCCGCAGCCCGCCCCGGCAGGTCCTCACCGCGGCCGGCGGCAGGGGCGCAGCTCTCACGGCCGAGGGCGCTGGAGCGCTGGGGGCGCTGGGGGCGCTGGGAGGGTGGAGGGGGCGCTGGGGAGGGGTGGAGGGGGTGGAGGGGACGCTGGGGGAGTGGGGGGGTGGAGGGGGGGCTGGGAGGGTGGAGGGGGTGCTGGGGGGTGGAGGAGAGTGCTGGGGGAGTGGGGGGGTGGAGGGGGCGCTGGGGGAGTGGGGGGGTGCGGGGGGCGCTGGGGGGTGGAGGGGGCGCTGGGAGGGTGGAGGGGGCGCTGGGGGTGGAGGAGGTGCTGGGAGGGTGGAGGGGGCGCTGGAGGGTGGAGGGGGCGCTGGGGGGTGGAGGGGGCGCTGGGGGGTGGAGGGGGCGCTGGGGGGTGGAGGGGGCGCTGGGGGGTGGAGGGGGCGCTGCGGGGGCTGGGAGGGTGGAGGAGGTGCTGGGAGGGTGGAGGGGGCGCTGGAGGGTGGAGGGGGCGCTGGGGGGTGGAGGGGGCGCTGGGGGGTGGAGGGGGCGCTGCGGGGGCTGGGAGGGTGGAGGAGGGGGCCGTTAGAAGCCCCGCATCCGCCGCCGTCAGCTGCAGCCCAAAAGGGGAAGTGACTTCCCCAAGGCCGCTAGCTTGGCTACACCACCGCCCCCGACGCTCCTCCTCCGCCCCCGGAATTGCGGGCCGCCGACCCCCTGAAGGCCCCGAGCGCCCCTCTCTGCGCCCCAGGCTCAGGGGCTCCAGAGGGGGGACCCCCGACTGCCCAGCGCCCAAGGCCGGCAGCCCCGCCCGCGCTGGGCCCAAGCTCTGCGGCCAGCGCTGCGCCCCCGCCCCATCCCCGGACCAGCCCCAGCCGGCGCCCCGGGGCGGGCACAGAGGCGGGGCGGGGGCCGGGGCTGGGAGCAGAGCGCTGAGGGAGAGGAGGGGACCTGAGAGGGGGCGAAGGGCCTCTCCCTCCAGCTCCGGCCCCAACAGAAACGGGGTGCGGGGGGGGGGGGGGCTGACTGGATGCCTCCGCAGGCAGCGCTGACGCACCATCTTCCTGCCCAGCCTCCCAGGAGCACCCGTCCAGCCTGGCCTGCTCCCACAGCCTGTGCCCCCCTCCCAGCCTCCGCAGCAACAATTGGGGTCCAGCCCCGCCCCCTCCCGAGCCCCGGAGCCCCCGGCCCCGCAGGGAGGGCAGGGGTCTCGCCCCCGGACCGCGGGAGCGGGCCCCGCGGAGCCCCACTCGGGCCTGGGGAGGCCAGAAGCCCACTCGGGGACCCCATTCCAGCACCCACTGTCAGGCTTGGGGACCCCGGATCGCCCCCACTTACCCCGCAGGCTGAGCGGAGGCTGAGGGGTGCGGGCGGCGGAGGAAGCGGAGCCGGAGGCGGACGGCTGGCGGGCGGCACCCCAACTCGGGCTGCAGCCGGCGGGGGCTCCGGGGGCCCCCACCCTCAGCCTGCGCGCCCGCCGCACCGTGGGAGCGGGGTGCACGCCCTGGCAGGGCCGGGGGGGGGGGGGCATCAGGAACTGACCCGCTGGACCACAGGCCACACCCCAGAGGACACGCCCTGCTCCCGCCCCACCGCTGCCTGGGCCTGCGGGCGGGGAGCGAGCAGGGGCAGCCATGGGGGGGGGGGGCATTGGTCTACTTCACTGGCACCTCCTCTCCCCTCTCCTCCCCTCCCCTCTCCTCCCTTCTCCTCCCCTCCCCTCCCCTCCCCTCCCCTTCTTCGCCACCGGTCTCCTGACAGCCCTGTGGCTCCGACTGCCAACCCATTGGCCCATCACAGGACAGAGAGCTGATGTGGATGGCGCCAGGGGAAGGGGGAGAGGGAGAGAGGGAAATGGGGGGAGGGGGAGGGGAGAGGGAGGGCGAGAGGGAAACAGGGAGAGAGGAGCGGGGGGCGGGGGAGAGGAGAGGAAGAGGAAGAGGAGAGCCCCAGCCCAGCACATGCCCCAGGGAATTCACCCACCCACCCATCCACCCAGCAGTTTGAAGGGGCTTTCCCACCTCCCGAGGCCTCCTCCCTGCCCCAGCCAGGGGCCCAGAGGACTCCGGGACTTCTCAGCCAAGGGGGTAGGGGGGAGGCTGGCTATACTCTGGTCTGGGCTCAACCTTGGATGCTTGTGGACACAACCACCCTCCAAGTAGCCTCTTCCCCCCCCCCCCCCCCGAGCAAATGTACCAGATGTATCTCTGTGTCTGGCCCAAGCCACCATCATCATCACTCCCTGGGAGACTGCAGCCACCTCCACACTGGGCTCCCACTTCACTCCTGCCCACCTCACCCTCATAATCCACCTCCTTATAGCAACTGGAGTATCTTCCAGAAACAAAACCAGATCACCCCACTCCCCAGCTTAGCTCCCCACCCAACCGATGGTCTCCTCAGGGGCTTAAAATAAAGCCCATCCTCCACACACAGCCGTGAGCCGGGCGCTGCCCGCCACCCCCTGGCCTCTCATTGACCCCCGTTACTCTTCAGACCTTTGCTGTCAATATGGTGGGCACATTCAAACTATAATAAAATAAAACTAGACATTCAAGTCCACTGTCACATTCGCCACTTTTCAGATGTTCAATAGTCACATGTGGTTGGCTAGTGGCTATCATCGCAGGACTTTTTCGTCATCACGGAATGCTATTGGACAGCACCGTTCTAGACCTTCTGAACCATTTGTCTCTCCTCTGTTCTTCTGAGCCTTTGCACAAGCTGTTCCTTCTGCCAGAATCACCACACACACACACACACACACACACACACACACACACACACACGGTGGTGTAGTGGTGAGCTAGCTGCCTTCACACACCGCTTCCCCCGCGTAGCCTGAACTGGGCTGGGAGTCCCCACTATGTGTTCCCATGACACTGTGTACTTCTCTGCCCATAACTCATCGTTCATTATTGTTAACATTCACTAATTGTCTGCCTCCCCCGAGAACAATCGCAAATGCCTACTGAGCACTCACTGTGCCTGACACCATGCTAAGTGCTTTACGTTTAACACTCAGAGTAACCTCATTTCACAGATGAGGAAACTGAGGCTAGGCAAAGTTAGGTACCTTCCCAGGCCGTTCAAATCCAGAGCCATACCCTTACCCCAAGCCCTCCCCGGGTGAGATCTGGCCTTCATTGTCATTTTGTTCTGTGTGCCAGCACCCAGCACAGTGCCAGCACCCACCTGGTGCACAGGAGGCTTTGAAAGGCAGGGTGGCCAATCATATTGCAGAGGGCGTTACTGTACTGTTGGGGGGACGGAGAGCAAGGGGAGACCCTCAAATCCCCCAGAGGCATCCCCACATCAGGTGACAATGACAATTGGGCAGACAACCCCAAATGCAAAAGCAGCAGATGGGTAGCCATGAGGGAAATCCACAGCCCCTGTGAGATACCACTTCATACCCACTAGGATGGCCAGAAAAAAAGAGGTGGGCAATACAAGCGTAGGTGAGGATGTGGAGAAATTGGAATTTCGCATATTCTGCTAGTGGGTTGTAAAATGGTGCCGCCAGGAGGGAGGCACTCAACCCAGCACTTCCACTCGGTCATGTGCTCCGAA